ACTGACGTGTATCAATGAAAGGATACTTACTCTGTATAAACTCACAGAAAACGAAATAACTAGTAGAGGACTTGCTACTAGATAATGCATCGCCATCTTACTCACGAAGATATTGTTCAATCTTCACATTAGCGAGGAAATTTCCCCATGAATCATTGAAAATTGTAAAAGAAAATACTATTAAAATAAGTGGATACGATAAAGCAATCTATTCAAAATTTACTAACACGATCGCTCTGTTGTGAATGTCAACGGCTTGTCGAAAATCCAAGGAATTCAATTCAACTTGCTGCGACAGTGGATTTACTTTGGATAGATTGATAACTGCTTTTCGTAATCGATAGCTAAAAGCATATAAAAGTTGTACACAAACATGAACTGCGAACAAATTTATTTATATTTCGATGTCAGTTAATCATTTTAATAAATAGAATCAGTTTTACTAAATAATTAATCGATAGTCTGTGACATAGATTATTATTTACATTTCGATTATTTATTTATATTTTGAATTATTTATTTATAGATAATACATAGATTATTATTTACATTTTGATTACTTATTTGTATTTTGAATTATTTATTTATATTATGATTACTTATTTATATTTTGAATCAGTTTTAATAAATAAAATAATTAATCTATGACATAGATATAAAAGAGTCGAATAATTTAAAGAAACAACAACTATTATTAATGTAAATTTTAAAGCTACTATATAAATAAATCAAATAATTGGACTAAACTGGTTATTTTTTGCATACTCTGTCAAGTGCTCTATTGTTTCAGCTACATTCATAATGTGGGAATTCGAGTCGGATGAAAAATTAATTAATCCTCTTAAAATAAATGAAGGCCTTTATACAGTTTGATTTCTCATTGAATTTGTTCTGATTAAAGCTACAACTTCTAAAATCGACCAATGTCCGATTTTAGGACAGAGCAGAGTGTATCTGCAATTTGTAGCTTGAATTTCATTGCTTAGGTTTTATAAATGTCTCAATTAGAATGGGGAAAGAGTATTTGGAAACTTATACTGCATAAATTTTGATACTTGATGTAACAAATCTATAAATATTAATTTCCTTCATTCATTTCTTCTTAAAACAAAAATGTAATTTCCTCTCTCAATGCGTTTATAACTTTCTTCAAAAAAAAAGGACGGCTTGAGAGATAGTAATTTTACGTACTTATACAGAGTAATGGAAAATTATATTTGTTAACAACAATTTCAGAAAACAGAATCTTGTCTTTCAAATTCAAAATCAAAGGGTTCTCTTCTTCCCGTTTTAAACACTTCTTCTTATCTTTCTTTGTTAGAATTTAATTTTCGAATAGGTTGTGATTACAATGTTATTTTGCAATATTATTTAGCATTCTCTAAAGCATCTATTTTCTTACAGTTTGCGAAATATAACGTAATGTCAATATGAAAGCTATTGATATAAAAATATCTGTTTCCAAGAGGACGATTGTAAAAATTAGCTTGCCCTTGAGTATCAAGATCAAGATAAATTTTTCAATAATTTCTTTAAGTCAATATACAAAGATATAGAATTATGATATATAACAATGATACATGATAATTCTTTACTAATTATGACACGTAATTTTCGATCACTTTGCAAGTATACTTCAATTAATATGGACGAGAATTCATGAAAAATTCAACATAGTAAATTCTACTCACACCTAGTAATTTTGAATAATCCGGATAAATAGTGAGCAAAGATAGTGAGCAACGATTCCGTACAGATAATACACAATAACCCGACTGTAGCAACAAACACAAAGTTAAAGGTAACGATATCAAGATAGACCGTTCTATCATGAGAAAATTCTGTGATATACTTGAGTAGACGAGTTCGAGATTCGTTCAGAGGTATTATTAAGTCCAATATTATCGGACCCAATAAGTATGATGTGAAAGTTATAATACCCGTGGAGCATGTCCCTAAAATGTTAAGAAAATTTTCAATTAATAAATGAAAATATAACTTATATTTCTATATTCCTAACAGCAGTGTAATACCAGCTCTATTCACTGTGTGAAAGAGAATTCACAACATTCTGCATATTATATATTGTTTGTAAAATTGAAGATCCAATAATAAATTCAATAATGAATGCTATTAACTATTAAAGTAGACATTCTGTATACACACTGTTTCAGTTACAGGATCATGTATATATTGAGAGGATTGTGATTCTAATGTGGGATTTGTTTATCCTGAAATTTATTTCTTCAGTTTTTTTTTTTTAACACGTTAAGCGTACGAAGTCTATTTCTGATCTTTG